AAGTGAAGTCAAAACATGTTTAAGTAAATCTATACTAATAGTAGATATCATATGTGTATGCATGATCCAACCAATCTATAACCCCAACTTAGGATGGGGGATGCCGTTCACACTCGGACACCCTGGTGAAAAGGTATAAACCCCTCACATGGTTGATGTTGGTCACACCCCAAGCATCCTAGGTGGTGATATATAAACCTCTCACATGGTTGTCCGGTTCTTTTCCCCCGGACCGGGCATGGTCATGCAACACTTTATATAGGAAATTCCCATTAGGCTCTAATGCAGTCTCACGTATGGAATGAACATATACACAAGCTTAGTTTGTCATCAACACATCTCTGGATTGCCATACATCTCATAACTCAAGCTTTAAAGCATCGATTCATCAATTCTCCATAGTTGGACATTTTGTCAAACACCTTGAAGGCATGTAATGGAATCAAAGAGTATGGAAAATAGGGTAGTAATTATGCAGCCAAACCAGTGAACAACCTACAACAACACCTTTTAACACCCACAATACCAGATGAAAATCTCCACATCCATTCCAAATTTAGATTCAAGTTCTAGAGTCACAACATGCTCAAAACAATTACTTTTCATGTTTAAAATTCAATGTGCAGGAAATTATTACAAAGAACAAGACTAATTTATGAATCTTAACTTAAACCATGAATTAGTGAGTAGAATAGAGTCTAGGCACTATGGGTGGAAGGACCCATGAGTTCAACACTACATACCTTGAGTTCTTATGAAGGTCTTGAGAGTGTCTTCAATGGAAGCTTGGAACTTGGAGCAAGAGTCTCTTCAATCTTGAGGAAGGTTTTGGATTAGAGTTCTTGAGAGAACTTGAGAGAAAATGTGTCTAAGTATGGGAGAGGTGTTTTGGGAAATGTTTTAGAGATGGGAATTGAACTAATGGTATATAGGAAATAACATATGCCCTTTGGAAAAATGGTCCAACACTTAGAAAAAAAAATGAGGCGGGTGAACAGTAAAAACGCTCACTGGAAATTGCATTTCCTGCCGGACAGATTTTACGAAAATGGGCATAACTTCTTCGTCCGAACTTCGAATGAGATGAAACGAAGTGCGTTAGGTAGCTAACTCCAAGGGCTTTCCATAAATATGTTATGGGACACCCAATTATTTGTGTGCTAGGAGATATGACCCTCCAAAGTAGACCCTCGAAAAAGGCTTCACTTGGAAATTTTGGATTTAGATACGGTTGCTCTAAAATTTGGGTTAGACCCATTTCCCATTCAATTTGACCCCCTAAACAAGAATATGAATTCAGATTTTCGAAAAACGAAATGGATTTTTTTGATATAGCTAAACAAGTTTCCGGTAACTTCCGAAGCACATTTTTAAGAACTTTTTGGGTCATTTCAGTCACGCCCCGTCCTTCTCAAGCGTGGTTTGGGGCTGTGGATTGGTTTTGGGGGCCATGACCTACGGAGGCCATCCACGGGCCGTGGATGGACCTACGGGGCATGGTCCTCTTCCATAGGTCACCAAGTTTTGGCAACTTTCCTCTATTTGGGGTACCCTTGGGATTAGGCTAAGGGTCCTCCTCAAGGACCCCTAGGGTGGTCCTTGGGTAGTCGTACCTTGACATTTAACCCCTAAACCCCTCAACCATAACTCGGGACAACATTATTCACCCTCAAACCTCACATCAACTCAAAGACACACATGTTAGGCTCTAGTTTCACTTATTTGTTTTACGGGTCGTTACATTATCCCCCACTTAGGAACATTCGTCCTCGAATGACACTTTAAACACATTAATGGATTAGAGCTCAAGACTAGCAGTCCATCATGCATGCAACATCATAAACAATACACAAAACTAGGAGGAAACATCGACTCCACATAAATAAGCTCAATGCAACACAAGAAAGTAGGAACTACATCTACAAACTCATTATGCATCATAACTTCAACATTTCTCATTTCATTGGAGGAATTACCTTCTCCAACTCTCATCATGCTCATCAAAACATAATTAGGTACATTATGCAATTCTTCATAAAAGCACATTTAGGCATGTTCAACATTTCACCTCATGAAGCATATAGACAACTCATACTAAATGCATATCAACAAGAGGAACATAATTCATATAAACTCATTTTTTCATTTAAACATTAACTCATTAAGAACATGCATAACATAAGGAGACTATGGAAACATATATACACACATGACTCCAAAACATGAAACAAGCTACAAGGAATTCTTGGTCTCAAGCTTGAATAAGAATATAAGGAAAGAAATAAGGATATCAAAACTCTCAACAAACTTACTATTCAACATACTATCCCCCACTTAAGAGAAAAACCAACTAAGGCTAACATGAAAACAACATAGGAACCTCAATATAACATTCACAATCTCTAAGGAACTATCACTTACTGGTACCTTCATCTGGATTAGCTAGTTTGTCCTTGTTAGCTTGAAGAGCATAGAAACGGTTTCTCTTTGGAGCATCAAGATCCGGGCCACTAAGTGAAGCTTGTTTGACCTCCCTTCTTCTAGCCGTAAGAGTAGGACAATCTTTCACTTGGTGATCATTCTTTCCACAACCATAGCACCCACTAGTACCCGCTAAGCATTTCCCATGATGTTTCTTCCCACAATTGTGGCAAGTAGGTTTTAGCAAATAGAGGTCCACTACCTCTCTCTTTGTTAACCTTAGGAATTCTTGAAGAATCTTGGTTTGGAGCTCTCTTATTGAACCTAGGTTGACCTTGCTCATCGGGCCTAGACCTCTTCAACTCTCTATTATTCCTCTTAAGTTTGGACTCCTCAATAAATTGAGCATACACCATGAGTCTTGAAATGTTCATATCATCATGGATCATCGCAGTACGACACTCTTCCTCAACCAGGTCGGATATCCCCATAACAACCTTACTCATCTCAGCTCTAGGGTTAGACACCAAAGATGGAGCATACTTAGACAATTGGGTAAATTTCAAGGAGTACTCTTGAACATTCATGTTACCTTGCCTAAGGTTGATAAACTCTTCTACATTAACCTCCCTTTTCTCACGGGGAAAGTACCTACCGAGGAATGCTTCCTTAAACAACTCGCATTCTGTGGGACCCGCTCCAACCGGCCTATTTGCCTTTCATTGAGTGAGCCAAATTTGGGCCACATCCTTCAATTTATAGGCGGAAAGTTCCGCTTTTTCAATAGAAGTAACTCCCATAACATTGACTATCTTATACACCTCATCCAAAAACTCTTGGGGATCCTGTCCCATCTTAGATCCTAGAAACTCCGGAGGATTCATCCTCATGAAGTCTCTCAACCTAGAAGTCATATTACTCACATTGGGGTTCACATTAGCCTCAACACCCCTATTTAGTTAAGCCATCTTGACTTGAGCTTGAGTTGTTACGGCTTGAGCCATCATCAAAAGAGCCGACCTAACTTTCTCATTGGTCATAGCTAGGGGATCCATCGGAACTTTATTTCTTTGATTGCCTAGAGGAACTTGGTCACCTTGAGGACCTTGGAGATCTCGAGGAGGAACTCTCTCGTTCACAATCTCCTCTTCCACTCTACTTGCAGTAGTCCTTCTTGTATTTATATTCTATAAACACAAGAGAAGGATTAGGAAAATGACACTTATAGAGCTAAACTCTAAGGCACGACTTCACGAGTATGAAAGAAGGGTAGCTTCCTAGCGTCCTATCGCCTCTCACTTATAGTTGTGTCGCGACTCACACCAATGAACAAGACTCTACTGGACGTGGCTTGTGAGACATCCATCCTAAAAACTATTTCCAAAATCTTATGCTCTGATACCATGTTTGTCACGACCCGAGCCTATACCCCGGAAGTGAAACGGCGTACTTAACCCCGAAGGGCCTTATACAAGCCTCATAGCACTTTATTGCATTTGATAATAGAAAAATGGTACGGAATTAAAACATTATTCAAAACCATACAATCAAAATACTCATTTAAAAATCTTGAAGAAAACACAGCGGAAGTCTATTGTGTCACATGGCCATCTAAAAACAACATCCAAAACATAAGTAGGGACACGACCCTTTACAATAAAAAAGTCAAACAATAGTCTTTTACATGAAAGAAATGGAAACATCATGTACTTGTCCTCAATCTATGAGGACATACCCCTAAATCTTGGAGAATCTCAAATCCAAGTCCTTCATCTAGAGAAAGCAACACACTTGCCGAAACCTACACTTGTAGTAAAACATGAAGAAAAATGGGTTAGCACAATTAAGTACTAAGTATGATAGTGATGAGTCCAGGATTTTGACTCATTTAAGGCTTAATTTTAATAGATTTAGTGTCCTCGAATGCATATTTTGTCTCAATAACTGATATAAATCCTTGAATTTCATGTATTTGAACTTAGAGACAAAGCATGGACACTATTAAGCAAAAAGGAACAAGGCAATTGAATGAACGAACAAAGGAATGCCTGAGGATTGCCTACACCATTAGGCGAGTCACCAAATGGCCTTGGTCTCGCTAATGTTCCTGCCAAGCCCTGAAGGAGAAAATCAAGTCGTCAATAGAAACGAGTAGTCGGCGAGTCACCGAATAGTTCCATGATGCAGTGCCATATCACCCAAAGTTATAGGACCTCAAGGATGCTGAAGGAAAAAGAAAAAAGGCGATACAAATGACCAAAGGGCGGATCGCCGAGTGGATTGGCGATCCCGATTAACTGCGCTGAATGGTCCTCCGCAGCACACTTTTTGACAACTATAAATACTTGTTTAAATTTTTAGCTTAGTATCAGATGTTGTGAGGAATCATATTATTATTTAGTTTTTGAAGTTTAGAACTGAGAACTGAGTTTGAGAGATATTTGTCCTTAGTTTTGAAGATTTATATTTCTAAGAAATTGGAAGTGGGTATTGAAGATTATTCATCTTAGACATTTGTAAAGACAATATTAATCATACACAGTTGATGGAAATACATTTTGGTATCGATTTCTATCCTTTTACTATGTCTAGTTAAAACCTCAATTCTTGGGATGTGATTATGGGTTGAATTAACTGTTGGGTATTGTTAATTGATAGTCTATTTGATATTTAAAAGTGATTTAGTTCAGTAGTTATGGTTGCATTTAATGGGTTGTAGTTGCAAATACAATCCTAACTTCATGTTTTTGGCTTGCTCGAGAGAGAGGTTTTAAAACCAAAATTGCTGAATCTATGGTCTGTGGGTATTGGGTTGTCATGGATTCAACTCGAGAGAATGAATCCTAAACCCTTTTCCACACATTCATCTTGATAGAGTGAATGGACTAAAGCGAAGGTTGTGCTTCGCTGCGGCTTATTGGTGTTCAAGAGAAACCAATTCAATTTAGGGTAAATTGTTCGAGAGAAAGTTTACCCCTACTAAAGTCTAGCGTATTGGCTGATTTGCATCGGTTTACTATATTCATATTTTCATATTATTTGTTGTTTTTAGTTGCTTGTTGACTACACCCCCCCCCCCCTTTTTGATATTTGACACTTGTGTCACCCCAAACTTGAATCATGCTTTTATTCATAAATATTTTTAGTGATGATTGACTTGAGCATATTTATGTTTTTCTATTGATTCTTGAGTACGAACCACTCCATTGGGACTCGACCCCAACTCACTAGTTGGGTTATATTACTACTCACGATCGTTGGCACTTGAACTGGAAGTAGTGTCCTGATACGTGAAATCAAAATGGTGTGGCTGCCGGAGAGTGGTGTTACTTGGGAATGTTTAGTTAAGTTGAATTTCGTTCTTGTTAGTTATAGTGAAACTTACTTAATTTTTAGTTTTGTTTTGCTTGTCTGTGTTAAAACAGGAAAAATGAGTGTGAATAGTGACCAAATGGACCACCCTCTTTTGCAATTATTGAATCTTAGGGATAACCTCCTAACGTTCAAGCAGTTGGAGGATGAGACTATCCATAAAATGTGGTCGAAATTTAAGGCTTTACTGCAACAATGCCCATCTCATGGAATGCCATATAGATTGCTACTAGAATGCTTCTATAGAGGTCTTGGTCCCAAAAATAGAAGTGTTATTGATCAACTTTTTGCAGGTTGTTAAATACAACAAAGAAACAGAGAAAGACCAAGAGTGGGCCGCATTGTTGACTCAAGTGGATGTTCGGTCCAAGAAGGTCATGGAGTTGGAAGCAAGGTCCAAAAGGAAGGACAAGTACCTTTCCCCTCACCAGTGTCAAAAGATGAAGCAGCAAGAGGGTGGACAAAATGAAGAGGTCGTCTCGCTTATTCTACACAAAATCGAAGAACAAGATAAAGTGTTGAATGAGATAAAAGAGAATGTTTTAATCCTTACTCAGACGACAACCTCCCATTTCATGACCATTCAGCTACAAGATGCCCAGATAAACTAAGTGTTGTTGTGTCTCTACCTATAGCATAAAGAGGGATCGCCTAGTGATACTATGGCTGACCCCAAAAATGTGGTTTGAGATTTGACTTGGGTCATGCCACGACGTTAACTAAGGTGCTGCTTGGGAGGCAACCCAAGACCCCTTGTCGCTCTATTTTTCCTTTAAGAAATAATGGTGTGGTGTTTGTGTACGTTGAAGTGGGAAAGTTATTGTAAAGTGCAGGTTGGCGAGCAAAAGCTCCAGTCGGCGCATCACCGAAGAGGTTGGCGACCGCGACCCAGACCGCCGTTGGACTTAAGAAAGTTTTACACTATAGTCTGCAAAACATGGCGAGGCCAGGATATTATTGGTGAATCGTCGACCATGTAGGCGAAATCGATCTAGTTCGTGGTTTGAACCCCCAGTTTAACTGAAGGTCCTATAAAAGTCGGCAAGGTAAGTATCCACTCGGCGACTCACCGAGTGGATCAGCGACCACGACTAACGTCGCCGACTGGGCGAGAACTGGACAATTTTAAGGCTAAAGGTTTGAAAGTTCCAAATTCTTCCACTTTCCCTCACTTTCTAATCCTTACAAACTCACACCCATTTAGTATTTTCTATATTTCTTGCTTTATTACTATATTTGAGTTGTTGATTGGTGCTCGGATTTGGATTACTTTTCCGCCTAACATTTCAATCTTGTTTGATCTGCATAAAAGGTTGGTTTTCTAAACCTCGAGTTAATTTTTATTGAATGTGTACTCATTTACAATGATATTATGCATTGTCTTGTGATGAGCCTCTCTGATAGAATTAGAATGATTAAATGCCTATTTTATATTGATAATCTTGCATGTAATGTTTTGAATGTTGAAATCCCGTATTCTTGTGCGGTGAAATAATTTAAATTTTAAGGGGTTGTGCTTGCATGTTGTTTAGTTTGGTTGGGTGAAGTCTTAGTAGCCTATATTTGTGCCAAACGACGTATTTTTCCCAATGATAGAATAGATGACATCATTCTTAAGGGCAAAAGTCGTCAATTGGTCAAATTTGGCAAAACCGAGAGAAGTTTGAGTATCCCGAGGTAATGGGTGCTATAGGTCTAGTTTAATTTTAGTTGTGCAGGCTTTGATTTTATTTTTGGGGTTGCGGGGTTGAATTCGAGAAGTTGGGTTGAAAGTAGGCACGTTAGGTCGTTTGGCAAGCTGGGTCGAGTTCACCGAACCATTCGGCAGTTCACCGAAGTTCCCCATCTCGCCGTTAATTTCTAGCTAAATGTGTTGTTTTGTCTCTGTAACTTTTGGCAAGAAGCATGAGGTCGCCGAAGTCACTTGGCGTCTCGCCGAAAGACTTCTTGATCGCTTTTTGTCTGCTCCCCTGTACTCTTTTTGTACTGTAACTTTCGACGGGTTCACCCTTGCTCATCGAAATCTGTCGGCGATTCGCTAAAAGGCATTTCCCATCGCCAACTTGCCATAACTTTAAAGCCAATCCATTTAGCGAGCCCGATCTAGCTCGCCAAAGCGATTCAGTGACTCGCC